CAATGACACACCTTTTTCGAGGCTCACATCTTCTAATCCTTCTTAAACAATTCCACCAACTTGGGACCAACCATTCAAAGATACGAAGTCATGGGGAGACATTCTCATTCAGACCACTGAGTTAGCCTAAAACAGTGGGATATCTATCTGACTTTAGAGATGGCACTGAGTCTACTTGTTTTCTTCACTGTAGTCAACTTGTACAGTGTGGCCAGCCCCTTTCCTCTCTTCCTCCTTCCCTCCCTCCCTCTCTTTCTTTTCTGGGTGTATATTTTGATCCTCCTGTCTGGGACTCCACATCTTGTACCCTTTCCCTTTTTTCCTTCTTTTCCTATTCTTTCATCTTTTCTTGGGATTAAGCTAAATTTGAAGTAATTGGAGACATCTCTACACTCCTCATATTCTGTGTTTCCTAGGTAATGTTTGAGTATCTCATTTCATGTTTAAATACAGACCTGTCCATACCAGTCATTGACTAATTTTTTGTGAATGGCTACAAGTTAAATTTTTTTTGAACAATGTACTATTAAACTGAAAAGTGATTACTAATATTCTACATTCTGACTTGGTTTCTTTTAAATACCTTAGTATGTTTCTGAAAATGGAAGTGAGGCATTCAGAAGATTCTGGTAGAAAGGCTCTACTTACTTAAATCCTTTGTGAGTTTTTTAACCCAAGATACCGGTGAAGTATAAGGAAAGCAAGTTCAATTAAAATGTCAGTTTTCTAGATGCAATTATCTGTTCAGACTATGAGGGATTATTTCCGGTAGCTCTTTATGAAACACTGGAGGGCACTGTTATAATATTTCCTAGCAAACAAATGGATGTGGTGAATTTGACGAGGCTGTTTTTGGAGTTTTGAATAAAAATACCATAGCCTGTAGATATGTTGGGTCTGTGTCTTGTGATGATGTGCTGGGAGTTAGCATCCTGCAGCTGTTTGTAGATGCTGTCGTATTTCTACTAGTGTCGGTCAAATGCTCATCAGGAAGGCCATGCGAATAGATGCCAGTGAATGAATGCCAGCTCATAAATTGATGCGTCTTAAATATGTCAAGTATTTTTTATACTGTCTCGGAAATCCCTGGCGTGTGAGTCTGGGTGTCCCTGTTAACACTGTTACAGATCGTGCACATTAGGCAGTAACAGGCATGGGTGGCTAAGTGCTGTCATCTGGCCCACATCGCACCCAGTAGATCTGGATGTGGTTTCCGAGAGTGCAAGAGTCAGCCAAAGTTATGAGTTTGTTACCTGTGTAGTTCAGCCCTCATAATGTACTTTCCTGCTATGGATTAGTTCTATAGGATGTCCGAAGATTTTTACAAGTCTGTCAAATAGTTGAGATTTGCTAACATCTTTCTCTCCATTATCCACCTTCACAGAGTTGCTTCAACCTTTGTGATCCTCAGTTGTCTTCCTTGGTATGAGGGCCTGAACTGGTACATACAACTGGTTATTGCCTGCCTTCCTGCCTTTCTGTAGCATTTTTATGTACATGCTCAACATCTTCTTTTTGAAAATAACTTATTTTGATAAAATATATTTGAAAGAACTCACCATTTTAACCATTTAAAATGCATATTTTTTTAGCATTAAGTACGTTCATTTACTGTATTCAACCCTAGCTTCTCTTCAAATATACAGTTCCCCTGAAGCCTATGTGCTGTAATCTTCTATTTTGGTGATAAATAACCACAAATTTAGTAACTTGAAAGAATAGATTCCACCTTACTCTTCACAGGGGTCTGGAGTCCTTGCATAGTCTAAGTACATCCTTTGTCTAACTTTAGATACCTTTCTTTATAGAGGTTGGGTTCACTGGAATGTACTCACTGGAAGGAATCAGCTTTGATCAGTATAGGACCGATATCCCTACTTTACTGTTGGCCATAGCAAGGAGCTGATCTTAGTTCTAGGAGACTGACATTACCACTGACCCCTTTAAGGGCAACAGAAGGCTCTCTCGGTCATCGGGACCTTTAGTAAGTACTCTGCTGAGCAGGTCAGTCCTGCCTAGGATGCTTTTCCTTTTGATTCACCTGGTATCTGTTGATGATCAGGGACTGTGAGTACAGTCACCTTTGCTTTGTAAGGAGACTACTCTCCTACTTACAGTTCCTGTCCACATGTGATGGCAAGGGAATTTACTAGGCATTGGGTTAGAACTCTGCTTACTGCACCTGTTTGTTTTGGAGTGTGCTTATTATGGTGAGAAGATGGAGGCCAGATCCTCTTTGTCGTCTGCAACTTATTATGAACCATTATTTTGCTATTTGTCTTAAAAAATAATGACCAGTCTATTTAAGAAAACATCAAGACTTTAAGGAATCTTCTGATGTCCACTTGTCAGGAGGGCATTGTCACTTCACCACAGCCTTCCTCTTTGCTCCCCATCTAGTACTTCAGGCAATGTTAATTTATGTTTACCACATGAAGAAATGTCAGGTATTGGGAGGGGTGCAGACTTGCAGGACTGAGTGTGAGCCCTTTGGAGTTTTAATGAACTTCAGTCAAATGTATAAATTCAGCAATTTATTTTGTTCTTTACGTGGTATTTTATATAGATTTTTTTTCTTTTTAGTTCCCTTAGGGGCTTGAAAATATTTTGTTTGTTTTGTTTACTCCCCAACACCATAGGCTGCAGAGAGGTAAGGATCAAGCATCAAAGGGTTAGACCTCGAGTGGAAACAGCTCCCCACGGCTCTGTGCATGGTGTGCTGGTTACTATGAGCATACTGAGGGCTTCCTAGAAGAAAAGGAACCTGGAGAAACGAGGTGACATTTGACTGGTCAGCAGCCTGGAGATGTTAGAGGGCCTAAAGGATTTTTGTTGTTATTGATGTTCTTGTTTTGGTAGTGTTTTGTTTTTCAAACAGGGTTTCCTTTTGGAGCCCTGGCTTGTCTGGACTCACAGAGATGACCTGTCTCTGCCTGCCTAGTGCTGGGATTAAAGGTGCTCACTCCCTAGCATACTTGGCCCAGCATAAGACTGCAAGTGTGAGCCAACTAGAGTATGAACTGTCACAACTCCTTTCTTCTTTCCTGGTCTTGCCTTTTCTCTGGAGTTCTGGTTTTCCCGAGTCTGGTGCTGCGCTGGATTTGACTTCATCGAACATCTGATGTGATAGGCTGAACACAGGGAAGGTTTCCTAAGAGTTTCTGTCTAGAGATGAGACATTAATGGCCTTAGAAGTAGCCACTGCAGCAACGCCTTGCCTCTAGGATGTACCTGCATTGTCCATTTTTCCATATTTTATGTCTCATCCATCTCTTTTCTCCCCACAATTAATTGTGCAGCATGCTTCAGAGAGCAAAGAGCCATGGTGTCTCAACTATGCGGGTAGTTTCTACTTTCCTAGCTTGGGAGCTGACCTTTCATTCTCTAGTACTGTGGCTAACATGTCAGCCACCAACTGCACACAAATATACAGTCCAGATATAAGTGAATTGAATGAAGACTTAGGTCCTGGCAGCCTGGTCGCGTTTGAACTGCTCGGCAGTTGCCCGTACCCACGTATTACCATGGACTTTAGTATCTGCTTCTTGTAGGATTCAAGCTGAACTGACCGAGGGGAGACTTGCTTGCTTGGAGGCCTTTGGCAGTTGGGTCAAACCTACAATTCTGCTTCCTGTAGGGATAACGTTCCCTAAAGGGGCATCTGATGGCCTAGGGAAGACAAACTAGTCGTAGGAGAGCTCCTTCAAGTCGCTGTAAGTGCTGTGTCCTAGTTTCTAAGTGCTGCTGTAACAAATGTTCACACACTTAGCTCAGACTGTACAAATTATCACCCCACTGTTGTCTCAATTGGATGTCTGTCTGTCATAGGTCTTTCCAGGGTAAGTCAAGGTACAGGCTGGGTTACGTTTCTTTGTGAAAGCCCAAGGACAGCTTATCTGGCATGGCTTTGTTTTGTTTTCATTTGTTTGTCTGTTTTCGTTTTTTTTCTCCTTTATATTTGACAGACTTGAGTCCTTTAGGGTTGTAGGTTTCCATCCGCATTTCTTACTGGCTGTTCCCAGCAGTCAGTGCTGCGCAGTCTGTGGCTCTTTGCCCTGCTTCTGCATTTCCAGTTTTGGAAAAGCAGGTTGGATCTCTTTGATGGTTGAGATGGCTGTTGCAGCTTCCATCACATCTCTCTGACAAGCTGGATAACATTCTTCTCTTACAAGATACTCGTTGATTACAGTGGGCCTGCTTGAATAACCTGCCATGGTCTCCATTTCAGGATCGGTTCCTCTAATGACACCTGTGACCTCACTCTTGCCTTCTGAAGGGCCATATTAAGGCATGCATACATCTGCAGGGTGGTAGAGTGTATGTAGTCTAGCACATGCTTCCAGATTGTTTTGTCTGTTACTAAGCATAAATTGCTTGTGTGTAAATATGCCGTATTTGAAGAGGGTAATTAACATGCTGCCACCTTTACGTAAATGTTACTAATTTGCCTTTGGAGACAACACATAAAGGATCATCAGAAAAGGGATGAGAGAAATAAAGAGGTCAGAATTGGTATGTTATAGTAAAACACGTGACTCTCATAGTCCCTGTTTGGAGAATACTCATAGCTTATCATCAAGACTTCTCTGAATTAATTATGTACAAGTGAATTTATACAAAAGTGACATTTTAGTTTTGGATGTAAACCTAAAAGTTGAGCCCTGAGTGAACTTACTAGCTGTATGTACTTTCTGTGATGTGCTCACCAGCTTCTCTGCTTAATATACAGTATTTTGCTAGTTCTTCACTTTAACGTGCTTCAGTAAAACCTTTTTTTTTATTTTTGTTGCCCATTCATACATTCATCATGGATTCCCATGCTTATTTAAAATTTTCTGTGTAAAATACTTTGATGTTTAATTAAAAGCCTAGACTATCTCTCAAGCATTAATATTGTACAGTGGTGCTTCTCTGACTCCATGGTAAATGATAGTGTAATTTTTGAGAATTAACATGGCACTTACTTTTTTTCTTATCTTTCATCTTATTTATGTCACTAGCTGAGAAACCTTTCCAGCTTGGACCTCCGCCATATCACTGAGCTGGATAATGAAACTGTGATGGAAATCGTCAAGAGGTGCAAAAACCTGAGCTCTCTGAACCTCTGTCTGAACTGGATCATAAATGACAGGTAACCATCAAAACGCTGGTCTTAGAGATGTGTCCAGAGGCAAGCGTGGCAGACACCGCTTACCACTGTAATAAACAGTCAGCTGTAAGCACAGCTGAAGGCAGCTTGTCCTGGCAATGGTGGCTCGGGGTTGGAGAGGGCTGTAGCCGAAGACGTCAGAGCACCTGCGGCTTGCAGCTGCCGCTGCGTTCTTAAGCGCTTTAATGCTGCTGTGTGCTTGAACAATCCCAACAGTAGTGTTTTATCTTGTTCCTTGGAAGCATAGATTGCTTTGTATTTTTGAGAGTTTTGTGGTTGATTGTTATGGTTTACCTTATCAATGAGTCTGAGGAATTAGCACGAACATTTTGCATTTAGACTCTTCTTAATTATGATGATTTTATTTCTTACAAATATAAGTTGTTTTTAAGTAGAATCATGTAATTTAGCAGTTTAATACATAATATAGAATTTATAAAATGGGAATTCTTTTTTTTTTTTTTTAATAAAAATAATCTCGTTTTTCTCTGAACTGTCACACTGATGTAGACAAAGACAAAGTAGGCCTCTTGCAAGTAGACTTTCACAGTGCAGACAAGAGCACAGTCTTCCTGCCACCACGAGGAGGCAGGTGAGGACAGTGTTCCTACTGCTATCAAGGGGCAGGAATGTCGGGACAGGGTTCCCACTGCCACTAAGGAGGCAGCAGTGTGAGGACAAGCCCGAGACAAGAGCCTGGCCCACCAAGTTTTCATGACTGTTTTTAAAGATAGGGCATTGCAGAGAATTTGCTTTCAAAATAAAACATATTGTTCCATCTAAAATTAATGACTGTTTAGACAGAAGTATTTTATAAGTAGGGGAACTAATATGTTACGCTTACCTCAGTAATGCTTTAAACCTAACTCTCCCTATTCTCCTGGTTTTTACATTTCTTTTTATACTTTAAAAATAAAGTGGTACAGACTCCGATTGTTCCAATTATAACTAGTTATAGTGATCAATTTTAGATTGCCCTAAATTAGTCTTTAAGTTGTATGATAGTCTTCATGTAACTCTTAGAAAAATTTTTATAGTAAGTTTTCTATCATTTATTTATTTAAAAAATTTACCCAATATATCAAATTTACAATTGGATATATTTATGGTGTCCCATGTAAAGCTTCAGAGCGTATGTAAGTGATATGATATTTACATTAGGCTAAGAAAATCTGTCTTCTGAAGCATTTACCCATGTGTACTTTTTCTAAAAAGGCAAAAACTCAGCATTCAGAATCTACTCTTCTTGCCATTTAAAAATATGCAGTACAGTATCACTGTTAGTGTCTTGAATGCCTTACTCCTGTCTAACTTATGGCCAAGTACCATGATTCTCTCAGTTCCCAGAAGGCCAGTTCTTGCATCTTCCTCCAGCGAGGGAGATCATGTAGTGCCTGCCAACCAATATGTTGAGCACAGAGGCCTTTGGCTTCCTGGTTTCATTGGCCACAAGCCCAGTAGTGGATTCACTGGGACCTGTGGTAGTCCCGTTATCAAGTCTGCAGGAGCTTCCATACCACATGCCTTAGAGATGTGCTAACACGGCCACTGTCCATGCACAGAGGTCTTTGGTTTTCTATGCACTGAGGTGCAATTGTCATCTTCTTTTCTTTTCTTTCTTTCTTTATTTTCTTTTCTTAATAGCCATTCTTGCTAAGTGGGTACTGCAGGGACTTACTTTGTGTCTCACTGAAAGAGAACAATCAGTCCTGCCCAATGCTGAAAGTCCAGGCATAGCTACAGGTATCTCACTCTTGTTGGGGCTGACAGTTAGTGATCTTAACAAGTTTATCTGCCATAAAAAAAAAGTCTATTGTCTATTCTAAAAATCAGATTATTTGTGTTTTTGCTGTTGAGTTACATGTATTGGGTTACTTACTGATTGTTACAATACTGTGTGTAAGTATTTTTTTTTCCCCATTCTATAAATTCTCTTCACTCTGATGTTTCCTTTGCTGTATGGAAGCCTTGTGGTTTGATCTAATCGTCTTGCTCTTTTTTTTTTTTTTTTGTATTTCCTGCTCTTTTTGATTCTGCCCAACTGATTCCTAGTGTAACATCATGATGTACCTTTCTGTTTTCTTATTGGTGTTTCATAATTTTTTCTCTCTTATATTTTTTGAATTTCTTACATCTTTATTGAATCAAATTTGTCTTGAAAAATTTACTGAATTTTCAGATTTTCTTTAAAAGTCCATTAGACTTTTTGGAATTAGAATTTGTTAATATGTATTTATTGTTTTTGGCAATATTTACTTTCAAAGTAAGTCAGAAAATTGAAGGATCATTAAGTAATATCTGTTTAAAAATTAATGTGTCTCTACAGTTAGTATTCTAATTTACAGAGGGTTGTTTGAAAACTCAACATACTCTTTAATAGCTTTTCAAGGCAAGTAATACAGTAAAGTGTATAAACATGTTGTGTTTCCGTCTGCTTCATATTTAGATAAGTTTCTTGTCAATATGTTGAATCAATACACACCTGTGGCAGTGTGGTTGTATGGCATAGTCTTTTGTACACGTCTCTAGGAGTCCTCTGCAGCAAGAGAGCCAGAGACCCGAGAGTGCTGCACGCGGCAACATCGTATGGAATCCGTGTGTGCTGTGTGGATTGTCTCCTAGTACACACTTCCATTTAAGCAAATATGTGCGGGGCCCTTACTCTTTAAGCTCTTCAGACACTCACTGTCAAAACTGGGGCCTTAAGATGGGACATGAGCAGCGTTTACTTTGCCTTTTCTTCCTCTGCAAGGCTTTGGGAACTCAACTCTTGCCTATAACTTTTTTTTTTTTTACTTATCTGTAATGGTTATTTAGTGTTTGATTCTAAATATAATAAGTACTGTGGAGATTTATTTCCAAGGAATGAAAGTATATTTTTATGTTTTTAATGGAAAAGTTTGGATTAATTGAGAAAACATGCATTTTAATGAGTTGAGCAGTAGAGTTATGAAGATCAGACTCTTAGTTTTAATTACGCTACTTACACTTCTTCTGTGTACTGTAATAGAAGTTTCAGACATTAAAACCCACTTTGCAATATCATCTAAATTACTCATCTCATTGTTCTTGCCATACTGTATTACTAAGCTAAGTAATATTTGTAATTATATTGGTGTAAATCTAGGACTTCCCATCAGACTTAATTATGATTTCAGCACTTAGCCGGGATGGGTTAGTCACCTCTCATAGTGAGCACTGCTACTAATGCATTTAGCCTATCAATTAGCTTCTGCTTTACATTCGTTCATTATTAGTGTCCTTTTGTAACCCAGGAAGCAGTGCTAAGTACTTGGTACTGTGCGTCAGAGTGTGGAGCACTGAGCCCCTGCTGCTGTGACATACGACAGTGTTCATGATGAGTTTGGTCAGGATAGAGGGAAGAGTGTAGCTGTTATTGCCCAGGTAATTGATAGGTATTTTACATTTATTTCCATTCTAGTTCAGGGGAAGCTCAAACCGCTTCATTACATGTACATTGTTTCTTTCACTCATTTTGGCTTTTAGATCAATGTGTTTTTGTAATTAGTACTTATGAAAACTGGGTGAGGACAAACAAGAAAATATTAATGAGTCATGAGTCAGTTTTCTATTTCATAGATGGAATTCATCCACTAATAATATATGGAAAATTCTTAGATTTGTGTTTTTGGTGAGAGCTCATTATTTTCTTTGATCTAAAACAGCAGTTTTCAATCTGTGGGTTGTGATCCCTTTGGGGGCCCGCATATCCGATATTCTGCATTACCAGATATTCATATTACAATTAATAAGTATTAACAAGATTGCATTTCTGAAGTGGCAACAAAATCATTTTATGGTTGGGGTCATTATCACACTAGGAACTCTGCTAAAGGGTAACAGCATTAGGAAGGTTTAGAAATGCTGGTCTAGAAGCTATAGACATTCTTTTGTGTGTTCATATATCAAAAACCCTATTATTGTTATAGGCTGTGTCTGTAACATGCTGGTTTAGTAAAGGTTAGTGCTTTGTTTTTCTACATTTAAAGTTATTGTCTATGAAATATTTTAAAGCTAACATTGAAAACTATGGTAAAAGTTTTAACTATGGTTAAAGGCTGTTCTCATTATGATTATGGTATTGGGTTTGGCTTTTGTTGTTTCTTGTTTGGTTGGTTTTTGTGGGGGTGGAATCAAATCCAGGCTTTACATGTGCTGCATTAAAGTCCTACCACTGAGCGACATCCCTGACTCTAATGGCTTAGTTTTTGTGGTCACAAAATTGATCTGTGTGGCTAAGGCTTGCTGTTGCTCTGTTCTTTGTTGTTTACTAAAAGCACCTCTTGCATTGAGAAGATTGCTCAGCATGATATTTCCCTGTATTCAGAAGGACAGGAGAGTAGTCATTTGACATTTACCATTGCTTTTAAATACAAATACAATCCAAGTGTTCTATGAAAGAATACAGGACTATTTCTATCTGTGATTTTAAATTAAACATCTGGTTATTATGTCTTCCCTATTCTTTCTGACTCCAAGTTTATTGAAATGTTTATCTGTATTTGATATAAATATTTTGTTATTTTACAGTCAACTTCCTCTTTAGGTTTTTTTGTGTGACTGACACAGAATCCAAAAGCTGCATATTTAGGTATAAAAGGCTCATATGTAAAAACTTGAACGGTTCTGAGTTTCTTCATAGCAGTATGATTATAATAGTATAATAGTTCTTTTTTAATCAATAAATGAAAAAAATGCCTTGATTTAGTTTTTTTTGCAAAAATTATTTAAATTCTTTATGTCAAAAATGTAGTTTTTCAATTTAAAATTTTTAACACTGGTCTTTAAAAAAAAAAGGGTAGTTTAGTTTCTGTGATCTATGCCCTGTGAGCAGATGACCCTTTCATTGGCAGCTTGCCAATGAAAACAGTGTAGGGCAATAATGTGAGAGAAATTAAAGATTCTCCAGAGCACAGCAAAAGCCCGGGCCTACCCTCGTGATAATAGAGCTCCCAGGTTGG